TTGACACTGGGTATCGAACTCAGTTCTTTGTACTTGCAAGGCAGGTGGCAGAACCACTGAGCTAAATTCCTGGCCCTGTTCATAATATTCTTATAATATCCTCTTAAGGCCTGTATTGTCTGCAGTGATGACCTCTCTTTCATTCTTGATATTGAAATTTCTGTCTTCTTTCTCTCTTTTTATTTATTCAAAGAACCGGCTTCTGGTTTTATTTATTTTCTCTCATTTTTTTTCTATTTATTTCAGTGATTTGTGTTGTTATGCTTGTTCTTTCTTCCTTATGCTTTTAGTGTAATTTCCCCCTTTTTTATAAGTTCCAAGATGTAAACTTTAAATTGTTGAATCTTCTTCTCTAATGTATTTAATACTGTGAATTTAGAAGTAGTGCTTTATGTGTCACCCACATATTTCAATGGGTTGTATTTTCATTTTCATTAAACTCACATATTTTCCACATTCTCTAATAGATTCTTCTTTGATCTATAGGTTATTTAGAAGTATAGTGTTTATTTTTCAAATATTTGGGGAAATCCCTATATGTATGTCTTTTCTGTTGTGACAAAGAGCATACTTTGCCTATTTTAAACATTTCAAATTAATCAAAACTTACAGACTATTGCTTCATCTGTCTTCAACATATCATCATGAATGTTCCATATATAAACTTACAATGTATATTATGCTGCTTTGGTGGAATGGTCTATAAATGATAGAAGAGGGCTCCCCATATCAACATAGTTGCTAGTATTATTAAAATTCATAAAATTGTTAAGTTTTAAGAAGTCTGTCAATGAGAGAATGGTATCGCCTAAATACAAATACAAACTTGTCTGTTTTTTCCTTTCATTCTTATGAGTTTATTCTGTAATTTAGAACCTATTTCTAGGTGTGTCTACATTTAAAATATTGTATCTTTTAAATGAACTGATTTTTGTAAGTAGTATTCAATATCCACTGTTATCCTTGATAATATTCTGTTATGTTTCCCCCAATATTGATATAGCTACTTCAGCTTTCTTTTCATTAACATTTGTATGGCACACCTACTTCAATGTTTTTGCTTTTAACTTATTTACATCCCCATCTTTTGATATAAGCTATATACCTTTTCCACTAATCCTTTAACATAGTAACCATAATTACTGTAAAGCCTCTGTCAAATAATAGCAACACTTGAATTATCTCTAGGTCTGGTTTCTTAACACCGGGAGATGGATAAATATTATTTATGCCTAGAAATGGGCAGTTCTTTCCTTCTGCTGCCTACTGTTATAGAAGATTGAGCCAGTCTAGTTATTAGTTGAACAAGGCTTGCTTGTTGTGGGACTGTAGTTACTTTCACTGTACCACTAACTTCCAATTTCTTTATCAGCAGGGCCTGCTGCCCTATTTTCTTTTTTTCTTTTTCTTTTCTTTTTTTCTTTCTTTCTTTTTTTTTTTTTTTTGGTACCCGGAATCAAACAAACCTTGCACTTGTGAGGCAGGGAGCAGCACCACTGAGTGAAATCCCCAGCCCTTGCTCTATTCTTAATGTGAGCACCAGGTACTTGCAGCATGGAAGGCTTCTTGCTTATGTTCTTGCTCTTCTTCTACTGCTAACTTGCTTCTCAGATATAGAGTAGGGTTTGGGATTCTCTTGCCCTGTCCTCAGTCTTCGATGGCCCTGTGCACTTGGTCTTCAGAGCTGGGGCCCTCTTGGTGTTTCTGTCCCTCTGTGTTGGCAGCCAGACTCAGGCAGATCAGTCTTGAGAGGAAGGTGTTACTCTACCCCTCTAGCAACACAAAGCTTGTGCTCTCCATCTTCGCCTAATGTTTCCTCCACTCCCTGCGTAGCCTTTGCTCTATAGGAGAGAGGCTGATATAACCTGTTGCCATACTTGAGAATGCCGCTGACCTAGGCCCTGTAGTACCCTCCCCTCTCTCCAGCTGTCCCAGGCTGGAGATGTGTGGAAAAGGGCTGGTGAGTGACACAGACTCCCAGCGGCCCTGAGCTTGGAGAACTCCATCAGCTGCAGCAGGAGGAGGGAAGTGGGCTGATTCCCTCTCACTAGGGTGATAAATGTGAATGTCTTCTTGCCTGGTTTTATACCCTGACTGTGATCATGATTTTTAAAAATTACCTGTATGATCTGCTTTCATACCAGACAGTTTTAAGAAAATAATGAACAGATCTTTCTGAACAGTGATTTTATGCTTTTGGAATGTCCACAACACTAAATACACTGACATTCCAGAAGAACCCTGTATTTAATTATATTAGCCCAGAGTGTGACATAAAGATGCTCACTTTTGGTTGAAGTTAGACAAGGTGTTTAAAGTATGAGGATGACCCCATCTGTTTCCTGATGTTTCAGGCATTGGTGGTAACTTGGTGGCCATTCAGGCGAGCAGGATTTCTACCTACCTCCATCTGCACAGCACCCCTGGAGAGCTGCCCGAGGAGCCCAAGGGTTGCTACCACCCACTTAGGACTTTCTTTGGACCAGGTATGTGCGTGGGGCTCCTCCATGTTTTCTGTCAGGAACTGTTGCTGTCTGAGACTATAGGCAGGCAACATTTGTTGTGTACAGATTTTGTAACGTTGCACAATCTTCTCTTTCTGAGTGCTAATCTCAGTGAATAAATTACTCATCCATATCAGTTTGCAGTTACTGAGGATCTTTGTATAATTTTTCTCTTTCATCCTCTCTCTGGGATATCTTGTTGTGTGAGTCAGGAAAGAATAACCCTAACCCACACCCAAATGTACCGCTAAGTGGCTTCAGGAGAGAGATGTACTCTTTATCCTGTTTTAATCTTTTTGGCTATTCTTTTTTTTTTCCCCCCTTTAGTACAGGGACTTTAAACTCAGGGCCTTCAAACTGAGCTACATCCCCACTCCCCTTTTATTTTGAGATGGAGCCTCTCTGAGTTGCTGTGCTGCTTCTGCCTCAGCCTCCCTCCACCAGACCCAGTGTCTTGTTGAGCTTTCTAAATGCAGCAGTTGGATCTAAACAGGACAAGGGGAGAACGTAAGATGTAAGGGTCAGTGCATCATTTCTGTCAGCCAGGTACATGATTACCGAAAAACGGATGAGGACTTTAAACCTCATAATCCTTGTCACAGTTTTTCCTGGTGAAAATGAAGTATAATTATTGACTTTTGAATGAAGCTCAGAAATGCTTGGCACTGATTAAAACATTTCAGTATTTTAAGAACTTTGTATTTTCTCTTTGATCTTCACTCTCTTTTTATGATAGATATTAAAGTCCAACCACTGAACTTCATAGCAAATTTTTATCATCCACCTTCACTTAATGACATATCACCTAGCGGGGAAATTTCAAAGAATTAAGTGAACTGTAAATAACTGCAACTTATCCTTAGCAATTGAACTTTATGTGATATACTACCTAGAAAGTAGTCCTCACGTCTGAATAACTGATATATTTTTAGCCAAAATATGCTTTTGTTTTAATGACTTTTACATTTTGTCTTTAGGAGTAAATAATAAATCTGCCCAAGTTCTGCTGCTTTTAGTGATTCCTGGACATTTGATTTTCCTTTACACCATTCATCTGATGAAAAGTGGCCACACTTCTCTAACTGTGATCTTTGTCGTTGTGTACTTATTTGCTGCTGTGCTACAGGTAAAAGTTAAAGCCTCTTGAATTTTTTTTTTTTTTTGCTCAGTGCTATAAAGCTATAACTGTATACATCTAAAGGCACATCACATAATGTACCATTTCAAAAATTGACCGAATGCCTTTGTGCTGATTTGACCTTGAAACCAATAACCTCAGGGCTACTTTTCATATCATGCATTATATAGAATCTTTGGATTTTCCATTTCCTGGATTCTGTGTCTTTCCTTTTTTTTGGCTCTTTTGTTTTGTACAAATATAATATCCAACAGATTCTTCAAGAAGAGTGCATGGGAATACATTTTTTAAAAATCTTTGCATGTTATAATAAATTCCTTCCTCTCAATAGGTTGATTGGATATAAAATTCTGTTTCTTGGGATGTTTTCTTGCTTTGTTTTGTCTTTGTTTTTTGACACAGGATCTCACTATGTAGTTCAGGCTGGCCTCAAACTCATTGTGATCTTCCTGCCTCAGCCTCCCAAGTGCTGGATGTGCACCACTATGCCTGGCATAAAATTGTTTCATTTAGAATTTTGAAGACTAAATAGCTTTATTGCCTTTTGATTACTTGTTACCATTGAGAACAATCAGAAACCATTCTTGGGCCGGGGATTTAGCTCAGTGTTTCTGCCGCCTGCCTTGTAAGCACCACAAGTTCCTGAGTTTGATCCCCAGTACCAAAAACAAAAACAACAACAACAACAAAATATTAATTAGATCTAATAAATTGTAAGAAAAGAAAAGAAACCATTCTCTTTCCTGACCCCATTGTATATAACGTTTATGTCTTACAAGCTTTTTAAGAACTTCTCTTTTTACTTTCCTTAAATTTCTTAAATTTCATAAATGTACTTGAGGTTTCTTAAATTTCATGTTGCTATATCCTGTATGCATGTATTTTGTCTGTTTTCTTTGACTTTATTAATCTAAAAACTCATGTTTTTCACTTCTAGGGACATTTCTTGCAATTTTTAAAAGTGATGAAGTCTTTCTTTCTGGAATCTTATTTGATTCCTGAATCTCTTGCATTAAATTTTTTAGTATTTTCTATTTCTTTATCTCTTTTTCTCATCTTTCTAGATGTCCACCCCTTCTAGTTTCTCTGTTGTGTGAAAGGCTTTTTTAATTTTTAAGAAAATTGCTTTTACTTTTCAAAATATGTAATTAGTATAATATATGTTCAAAGATTTAAAACTAAATACTTTCAAAAGGTTCTGTCTTCCCAGTTGCATTTCTCAGAGATAGTCACTTTGAAATATTTTAGCTGTAAGTTTTAAGGTAACATGCCTAAACTTCAAGTTTATGATTAATCTCCTTTAGGTTTTGCTACTAAAAGTTGAGAACTTGGTGGCCTTATAATGCTCTGTCTTTTCCATATAGTTATATCACAACTTTTTGTTAAATTGGTTGTCCATGACATGTTATTAGGCCTCTGTAAACGTTATATAGAGGCCGGGTTTGGTGGCACACGCCTGTAATCCCAGCACTCTGGAGGCAGGAGGATCGCTGTGAGTTTGAGACCAGCCTGGGCTACATAGTGAGTTCCAGGTCAGTCTTAGTACATAATGAGACCCTGTCTCAAAACAAACAAACAAACAAACAAATAAAAAAAACCCAACATTATATAGAGGCAGTTAATTTACTATGTTTATATATCTGTGTTTTGTGTTTTTCTTTTTCATTTATATCATTTTCCATAAACCAATCTTTAATTTTTTTTCCGGCTGTTTGAACTTTGAGTTCTTGGTCATGATTTCTTGCTAAACTTTGTAGGTTTGGTACCTTCTACAGGGAGGAATCCTAATCCCTTGAGATGGATTAAAATAATTCTTGAAGAGATGGCATTGACTTTGGCCTTAGAAGAGTTTGACATTCAGTAAAGAAACTAAAGAGTAGGTATAGGGAACAGGGAAGGGGATGTTGCTAGAACCTCTGCTGCGGGTCCTGGCCTCCTGTGATCCATTACAGCCCAGGGCAAATTAAAGACTAGACAGGAAATGAGACTTAGAGTGGAGAAACTAAGTCTTGGGTCCTGGTCAGTACTGTTGATGGCAGCAAAGACAAAGGCCCCCAAGTGCTTCCAGTATTTATTGATTACAATCATGGGAAGGAATAGGGAGCAGGGTGTGCGTTGAAGGTATCTAGTGAAATACTGCCAAACACCTGGCATGATGGTGCCAGGCATGGCTGTAAAGGAGAAAGCACTGCTCGTCTTGCTTGGATAGAACAAATAGGTGCTGGGTCCAGGTGCAATTAGCAAGCAACCCATCGGATCAGTGGGAAGCCATAATTGAGTGGGAAGGGTTTTAATTGGGTCATGCTGACCTCAGCTGCATGGAACTCAGCAGAGCCCTGCCACTTGAGGGCCTGTGTTTCCTTTGGAGTCACATAGAGCTTTGGCCTGACTCCTGATACAAAGTAATATAACTGAATTATGAAAAGCAAGAAGCAGGTGCCACTCATAGCCCGCTAGTACTGGACAGGGATGTCTTCTGGAAGTAGGTACTTAGATATAATTCCAGGAAAAACTGTACTGATGATAAAGATGGTGATGGGTTAGCTGGCATTTATAGTGTTTCCTATACACTGAGTGCTGCTTTTCTTTCCCATGTATCAGTTCACTTAATTTTCACAAAAAACAATGAGAGATTTGTTCTTTTCCTTTTTTTTCTCTTGGCAGTGCTGGGGACCAAACTCAGGCCTTGCCCATGTTATACACTTCTCCACTGAGCTATAACCCCAGCCCCAGGGTTAGTTTGTTTGTTGAAAATCAGTAATTTTCAAAGTGCCAAACATATACAACAATGCATTGTGTATAGGAAGAAAATATATTTATATTATATTTATATAATATATATTTATAATTTATAGATTATTTGTTTT